TACTCATTGCAATCCCTAAATGCTCTTAAGACAAATTATTAATCAAGTCATATTAGGATCTGAAATATTTCTAGTTTTATTTCTTCTTTGAGAATGTCAACAGTTGCTAAAGTTTTAGTGCAACCACAGCTCCGTAAATTCAATGGGTTTCGAGATTTAGCAATTAAAAAATTGATCTTTTTTCGCAAAAAGAAGAAATTGTAGTTTTAGTCGTCTTCCTAACAGGATACTCATCCTACGAGGCAAGTAATGAAACTTGAAATTATAAAGCAGGTATTTTTATTTAATTTCAGCACAATCGGAACTATGTAGGATCGATAGTTCCCTTGTTATATTGAAAAACCAAAAACTAAGGAAATCAAATCTTTCTAAAAATGGAGCCTCGCGAATTACAGAACTTTTGTAAAATATTAAAAAGACACAACTCAGTGGAAAATGATATATAATTGAATACAATTAATACTAATTACACTAAAATTGTATAAGAATTATTTTGATAGTTTGGGAGACTTGGAACGTGAATTGTTGATGGTGAGACACCTCAGCTGATTCCTGCGACATAAATATATAATAAATTACAATTGAGTGATAGTTCTGTAATATTTGGTTTACCTTTACTCAATTAGAGATACTTGTGTTCTTTTGGAAGTCCTAGATTCTTATTGGGGTTTCGAAGACTCCTCTATTGTTGAATTAGATTAATTATTAGAATAGTATTCTTACATGTCTTCCCCTGACAATATTTGCAGAGAACAGAGCATTTCATCACTGCTCTCTGCCAGTAGCAGCTCCTTTTTCTGTTCCCTTTCTGGCATGTGTACGACAGCAATTTATGCAGGGTTAGCAGCGCTGGTTCCTTGGTTGTTGGTTCCCTATCGACCCTTAGTTGGTGGTGTATAATAAGCATTTTACTTCAATATTCGTTACAATTTTATTGATAAAATATAAAAGAATTATTCCGAAAACGAAGCTTTTAGCTACTGGTCAGATGTTTGATAATAGGTAGGTGATTTGTATCAAAGCACTGTAAAAATTATGGTCAAATAATATGACCTCAGCAGTAGGTTATTATTAGTTTTGCCTAAGGCTTTAAAGAAGTCAATCTAGACAACGTCTACCTGATTTCTTCTGTCTAATGTCATTTCGATAAATTGGCTTTTACAGCATACATTATTTATAGTTAGATGAAACAATAGGTCATGTATAGAACGAGAGGCGATGGTGGATTAACAATTCAAAAATTTTGGGGAAATGATTTAATATTGTAAGTGGGCGATAGTTCGAAATTACATTTTTATTAAATAGCTTTCTTAAAAATGTCACATGTATAGGTTTTCCATTTATGTGGAAAATAACTATGCCTTGTTCTCATGTTCTCAGTTAGAAAATAATTGTTAATTGTTTAGCCAGGGTCTGTGAAGAATTTCTAATCAAAAAGGCAGGCATATTGTCAACACCAGCTGTTCGTTTCGGTTTAAATAAATTTAAATGAATTCTGTAAATACCACAAAACAAATTTTTTGCAATAGATTTCTGCCGATTTTCCTAATATATAAATAATTAATTTTCATGACGTATTACAGCCTTAATGAAAAGTTATAAAGCGCCGCTTTCCTTACAAGACAAAAAGCAACCAAATGTAATTAATCACGAGATCTAGACAGCTTTAATTGAAAACTAAAACTTTTTGATATATTGCGGTCCGTTTAAATTTAACACCGCCAATTGCAGCCAAAGTTGAACATAATGTTCGGGTGCTCGAATTAACCACAAATTAATGTCGAAAATGCGAAACTAATAGTAACTATTCATAAAAAACAAACAGTGGTTTATAATAAAAGGTTATAATATTAAAAAATTAAAAATAATGTTAAAACTTATAAAAATGGTTAATGTATGAGTCTATATCTAGCGGTAGTGTCTTTAAATTACATAAAAAAATTTGAAAATCATCGCAATATTTCAAGTTTGAGCTATAATATAAAAAAAAGTAGATCTGCACAAACCAACGACGAAAGATTACTAGAGTTATCCATTAATTTATATTCAAGCTCTTTTTTATTGCAGTCATTCAGATTGTGTTTATTATTAATAATAATAATAATAATAATAATATTTATTGACCTTTGAAGCCATATCTATAAAATATGAATAAGGTAAGTCATACATAGATAAATAAATAAACAAATAAAAAGAACAAAGTAACAATACAACAAAGTACAATATAAAAATCTCATACATACACAAATTGTTTTTTCCTAGTTTAAAACCAATCTATTACAGTCACACCATTTTTTAAATGCCATAATAATCTTTTTTACTTTCTCTACTACCTGTACTGAAGTACCGGCAGATACTATTACTGTGTTGTGTCGTCAGCATAAATAAATATATCATCCTGATCTTTAAAATATTCAAGCATATCGTTAACGTACAGTAGGAAAAGTAATGGACCTAGTACTCCCCGCAGAGCTGTTGCATCGGCTACCGTATTAGAAAGAAGGAGAAAACTACTAATTTCAATAGGATGGTTTGTGCGAGTCTGTTCATTTTATGAATGAATCAGGATTTACGTCTACTAGCTTGCTTTACACTGCTGCCACACTGCAAAATTAATTGCGTGCTTTCCTTAAAAAACACTATATAACTATAATAACTGGCATTAAGAATGCAAATTTACTTCTCTAATGTAGTTTGAAAAGATTTTTGAGCACTTTAGAGCCTTATATTTAGTCAATACCGAATTACAACTAAACAATTCTTGTAAAACAATACGTGGATGACACCGTGAATATTTGTAATTCGATTTTTGTGAACACAATTAGTCCATTTGTTTTTCGTCTTGGTCTACACTACACCAATGTATCTGTAACTTTTTTGCGAAAATTCCGTTCCATATATACGGGAAGTTATTTCGTTATTATTAAACCTTTTAAAAATTGAAAACCTCAATAAATCTTTTCAGTAAGGTGGATATTTACTTAGGCATTCAAAAACTTTTCCAACTTCATTGCATACAATGTTTGTTTTGCGGGAGAAAATAACAGCGCCCCGAATTGATTCTTGGGAGATTTTCCGAATATTGAAAAACACATTTCTCTTTGTCTTCGCTATTACACGACTTGCCTTTCAATATTGAATTAAAACTGAAAAAGGCAAAACATAATCATGAATATCGTCGTCAATATCACGAAGTAACCTAACTCGAAAAAATTGTTTATTATGTAAAAAAGTATGATCTACAGTTTCACTAAATTGCGTATCTCAATTCATTACATTTATTAAAATAGCTCGTATCTAACCAGTGTATCTGATAATTTCACGAAAAGACCTAACTTTATAACAAAAACTTTAAAACGTTCTCTTGTAAAGTTGTGAAAATCGAGTAACGTCACTTTGTGATATTGATGACGAAATGTTCAGTGTCTCTAAATAACAATCTATTTTGAAATAAAGCCTTAAATGGCAATTAAGTTCTTTAATAAGTAAGTAAAATTAGTTATTTATTTTATAACCATCCAAATTTATTTAAAGTTACATATATATGATCTGGTTTTTAAATTGAAACGAACATATATAAACTGTATTCAGAAAAGATTCCAAATTGCTGTAAATATATTAAAAACTTTTAGTTGTCATAAATGAGGCTCTGACCCAAATGTTACTCTAATGTTTTATAGAATGCTGGTTCGTCCAATTATAGATTATAGTTCAATTTTTAATAATACAGCAGCAAACTCACATCTACAGAAAATTGAACAATTTAAAAATAAATGTCTAAGACTCTGCCTAGGATTCTTACCAAGCACTCCTATAAGTTGAAACATGTGAAAGTCCATTTGATATAAGAAGGACATTTCTGAGCGATAAATTTGTATTATTATCCCGGTCAAAATATCCACCGTAATCAATAAAGTAAGCAAATATTCTTATTCTTCTGGAAAAAGAAAAACTGCCATTATTAGTTGCCTAATTTTTGAAATTTGCTTCATTACGTGTTGATTTATTATTGTTTAAAAATAACAAAACCTCACAAAATAGGAAAGCAACTAAACTAACAGTGACCTTCTAATGGCAAAAAGTCTTCACGTCTGAACCAAAACCGAAATCATGCAGGGCCGAACTTTAATTCTAAGGATGAGTGCGCTACGTTAATTTCCGTTATTCTGAAACAACAATTAGTCGAGAATTAATGAAGCAAAAATTTTTACACGATTGAATAGAGAATAAAACTCTCTTTCAAATGAGCTATCACTCACCACCCCTTGCCATTTAAATTTTTAGAAAGGGTTGCTCCCAGTAAGGGATGAAATTAAGGGTAAACTATTCATACAAAAATGTACATTGTAGAAATCAAAAATCGACGTGTCTCAGCGATTTTCCTAACAAGACTCCAGTAACGAGTTAGATAGGGGGGGGGGTAAGACTCATGGTGCTCACTGTATTATAGCGATTATATAAATTGGATATTGTAGAACAATCTTCAGCCTTCAACTGAAATACATAATTTTGGATAAGACTAATATTTTTTATGTCGCAAGACATGACATGTTTTATGTGAAAATTAGTAGTTTTTTAAAATTTAAACTCGATGTGAAAGAAACAATTATGGAATATTTTAAAAAATACTTTGATATTTTCTCTTTAAGTTGAAAATAAAAAAGTTATTCATCTTTGTCAGTCCATTTTCGGATACCCTGTATGTAATTAAACCGTTTTTTAAAATTTAGTTTCTTTTATGTTAATTTTTAATTTATTGGGAAATCTAAATATATATGTATACCTATGAATTTGTAATTATTTAAATTAATTTAAAAAACCCGAACTTTTGTGTATGGAAGTTCAGACTCTAATTAATAAGCCACCACTGAAGAAAAAATTTAGTGATAAATTAGTTTAATTCTTTATATCGAGGACTCGACAATTTTTCGATAAGTTTCGACAATTTTCGTTTAATGTCAGTACTTAAATAACGAATATCTACAAAACAAGGTATTTTGCTAAAACCTATCACAATAAACATGTTCAAGTTAATATGTAAATACAGAGCAAACGCTAAATTTACATTTGTTCAACAAGCATCAATGAAAACTAATGTCATACCGAATGACAAGTAAGTGCTTATCTGTATCATAATATATAAATAGCATATAAATATTTAAATGAATTTAATTATATTACAAACAAAAGTTAAAGTAATTTCCCATATAAATGAGTGCAGTGTTCGAAAAAAATAAATACATAGTTATATCTTTTTTAGAAAAAACTATTACCATATAAAAAAAATATTTTGTTTATCTTTCAAGGTCTTTCTTATGTATTTTAGATAAACGGTTTTGTTATTTCAGTTCTTTCTTTAATCATACTTTTTTGTGCAGTTCAGCTATCTAGATAATCTATGTGAGGCATTTTCTTGTGTATTTTAGCTTCTTCTATCATGAATTCCAAATAGTTATTACTCTCACTAAATTAGAATTAAATTTATTCATTGCGTATATTTCTTTTATTTTTATTTAGTTTTTTCTGAGTTAAAAATTATTATGATGATGATAATAATATTAATTTCATTTAATTTTTTCTTTCTTCGACGCTATAAGTCTTTTTTTGACTGAAGAGGGCAAAATACAAAAATACAAAATGGCAAAGTTATTTTTTATGTATGTTCAGCGATAATTTTTTACCACATTGTCCGAGTTCTATGATTTATTAAAAAGGACGAACCCCAGAGGTGGTCCCATATAAATTTCTTTAAAATCTACGAAAAAATCAAACTCTTTAATTTAAAAAGTATTAAAGTATCTAATAAATATGCCGTAGACGAATATAAATTATAATATATTAATATATTAAGATTAAATTATATTATTAATAAATGTAGAAGATTAACTGTAAAAAATATAAATATATGTTTTATTATCTACAATTTTGAATTCTTAAACGATTTTTCTACATAAAATTAAACAAAATGAAAAACAAATTAAAATATCTCAATAATTTTAAAAATTTAAAAATTCGTAAACAAATCTCAAAAATCCCCTTAAGAATTCTTAAGACCATCCCCGAGCCCCAAAGGTAAAAACAAATACTTGAAGATTTGAAAAAGCCTGTTGCAGCTGAGAATCGAAAATATTTTAGTTCTACAATCATATAAAAATAATTAATGACCGTACATTTGTGCCCTCGATACATTTAAGACCCTCTCTTGATTTTTCGAATATTGAAAAAATTTAAGTGAATTAGTTGTTACCCTACTAATAATGCATAACCGAAACAGACGTGGAATAATGAAAAAACTGTAATAGTATTTTACAAGTCCGGTAGGTGACTTATTACAGTATCAGTTGTATATAAACGAGTACTGTAATAACACTTAACGGACGTGTGTCTTATGATATTATATTTCATCCTTTCTTTATAATAAAAAGAATAAAAAGATATGTTGATTAAAATTAAAAAAAAAATAGCAATTTTATATCATTACCTTAACTGCAATTGAGTCATTGTTTCCATAGTTAAGTATGATTGCTACTTACTGTCAAATAGATAATTTTAAAATATTTATGATTGAAATAATATAAAAAGTAATTATTTCTAAAATAAAAACAAGGTTGCTAGGCAACACATTTAAGTATCTGATACTGTTCCATTTCCCGGAAACAAATAAGTAATATAATAATTAAAAATACTAATATTTAATTGCGAAATAGGAAAAAGTATCTTTAAAAGAAACTATAAGTAGATTTACTGTACAGAATGAAATAAAAATTTTTATTTGGGTTACTGACATTATATAACTTCCCTTCACACTTTTTACAGGCAAAGAACTGTCGACACAGATATGCCGGCGTTTTTAAAAGATATATTCAGTAAATATATCAGTAAACCAAAAAATTACGGATAAATAGGGGTAGGGTCGTAACTGTCTCACTTAAATTTTATCATTATTCGAAAAATCAAGAAAGGTTCTCAAATGTATCGAGGGAACAAATGCACGGGGCGCATCTGTCCCGACACCGTACTTATCACATAGTGTGTCCACGAATGGGAGTACCAATAGGTAAAAAACCACTGTTATTATTTTATTTTTAAAAATTCGAATTTTTATTTAGACTTTACATTAGTTTATAAAGCACTTTGTTCTATAAAATTTTTGCCAGACTTATATTCTTTGATTACAGGTCAGCATTTGCAAATAGACGACGGAACTTTGATTTATCGTCAGAATATCGGCAGCTTCTTTCAGTTTTTCCTTCAATTGTGGAAGAAGTTATAGAAGAACAGCTATTCTATCATAAAAACTTTCCAGAATTGAAAGAAAGATATGCAAAATTGTTGAATTACACTTGTGTTCTCGATGATAAATATTTATCGACTGGCGTTTCTTTTCTGCATGCATATAAATCGTTTCAGAAACCTAATCTTCTGACTGAAGAAAATCTGAAAAAGGCTTGCATATTAGCGTGGTGTCTTCGTTTGGTGAGTACCTACTTAGATTTTTGCCAAATCTTTTCATTCTCATAATAAAAGAAAATAAAATATTACAATTTTTTCCAATAGTTTTGTTCTGATACCCATTAACGCGTATTAAACTATCTAATTCTAATTTTGCTTCTGCCAATCTATAGAAAAAAAATCAAATTTGCGATAGAATGGTTTGTGTACAAATTTCGAAAAATTCTAAGTGCTTAGTAAAAAAAAAGCAATTTTCGAATTTAAACATCCGAAAATCGACCAGCTCAAGACTTATACCAAATACAAAATTTTTTTTAAAGTTTAGATCATTCTTATATAGTTCTTAAACATCTTAAAATCAACAGAATACATTCATATTTTTATTTTTAGAATATTTTTTAATTATTTTTTAGTTAGAGACTTCTGTGATCATGGATGATGATATAATTGATAATTCAAAGCTAAGATATAACAAACCAACTTGGTATAATTTACCCGATGTCGGAATAAAGAAAGCAATCTGTGATGCCAGTTTTCTTGAAACCAGCGTATCCTACCTACTTCTGAACCATTTTTCTTCCCATCCACAGTACTTTAATATTCAAAAGGAATTACTTAGGAGCTATGCTCCTACCATGATTGCTGAGTGTATGGATCTTTCAAAATACAAGCCAAATGAATTTGAAAAGTATCAAAATGTTGTTAGAATCTATTTTTTTACAGTACCATTTGTTTTATGTGCCATGTACCTAGTTAATATCGATAATCCACAATTACATACTATAGCTAGAAAAATTCTAATCGATATTGCGATATATTTAGCATCAGAGGTAAGTCTAAATTAACCAATCCCATTAGAATTTTTGCAAAATTTCTTGTTGCCCTAACTGAACCGGTGGTTTCTAAACAAAAATAAGACATTTTTCTATTTAAAAAAATACACAGATAGTAAAAGAAATATCTGACACAACCATCGTTTAAATAACTTTATTCCTTTCATTTGCAACATACTGTATAAAGATTTGTTTTAGGATGATTTTGATGGTGTATATGGCATAAAAACACAAAAAGACTGTACGGACGTAGCTGAAGGAAAACCCACTTGGTTAGCCATTCAAGCATACAAAATAGGGACTGAATCTCACAGAAAGATATTGGATAAGCACTATGGTGTAGATGATAATAAATCGGTAATGGAGACCTATAAAATATACGACGAGTTGAATCTAAAAGAAAAGTTTGAACAATATAAAGAAGACTTTTATAATGATACATATAAGAAGATAGAGCAGCTACCCAAAGAATTACCAGGACAAATATTTTTGGATATTTTAGATTTTGCAGTGATGGGTGGATTTCGAGTATGAATGTGAATTAGGTTTAAATGTTAAAAATAAATTATTACCCTATTCAATGCCTACTCATTGTAGTCCTTAAATACCCTTAAGACAATTTATTAATTTAGTCATATTAGCATATTTAATATTTCGAGTTTTATTTATTCTTTAAGAATGTCGATAAAGTTGCTACAATTTTAGTTCAACCTCTGCTCCGTAGATTCAATAGGTTTATAGATAAAGCATTTTAAAAATTGGCCCTTTCTCCCAAAAAGAAGAAATTGTAGTTTTAGCCATCTTTCTAATAGAATATTGGCTAAAATATTCATCTTACGAGGCAAGTCATAGAACTTGAATGTGTAAAGCAGTTATTTTTATGTAATTTCAGTACATTCGGAACCATGTAGGGTCAATATTTTCCTTGATATGTTGAAAAACCAAAAACTAAAGAAATCAGATTTTTCCCAATAAGGAGCTTCGTGAACTACAGAAGTTTTGTAAAGGATTAGAAAAACATAACTCAGTAGAAAATGATTTATAATTGAATACAATTAATAATAATTATATTAAAATTCTATAAATATTATTTTAATAGTTTGGGAGACCTGTCATATTTTGCTACAGTGCAAAATACTTGTGTTTCATAAAATAATATTGTTATCTGTGCAAATTACTAATTTTTTTCATTTTCGCTTTGGAAATTACTTCTCAAATTTTACTTTGTAATTGGTAAAATTTCTTTTTTATGACACATTAATTTATTAAAATATGCAAACTACAAAATGAAAATTTGCAAAGTGGTTTCATAAAATAGGCCCCTGGAACATGAACTGTTGATAGTGAAACACCTTAGCTGATTTTCGTGAGAGAAATACATAACAAATTACAATTGAGTGATAGTTGTTTAATATTCGGCTTACCTTTACACATTTAGAGAGTCAGTTGTGTTCTTTTGGGTGTCCTAGGTTCTTTTTAGCGCTTCGAAGACTCCTCTGTTGTCAGATTAGATTAATTATTAGATTAACACCAGATACTAGTCTTAAAGAGAGTCTAGGTCTAGGTCTTCTCCTGACAATTTTTGCAGATACCAGAGCATCTCATCCCTGCTCTCTGGCAGTAGCAACTCCCTTCTTCGTACTTGTATAACAGACATTTACGCAGGTTTAGCGATGCTGGTTTCTTGGTTGTTGATTACCTGTTGACCCTTAGTTGGTGGTGTATAATAAGCATTTTACTCCAATATTCGTACAATTTAATTGATAAAATAATATAAACAAATTATTCCGAAAACGAAGCTTTTAGCTAGTGGTCAGATGTTTGATAATAGATAGGTGATTTGTATCAAAGCAATGTAAAAATTGGTCAAATTATATGACATTTCGATAAATTGGCTTTTACAGCATACATTATTTATAGTTGATTTTCAAAACTGAAAACCATACTAGTTGGATGAAACAATGTATAGGGTCATGTATAGAACGAGAGGCGATTGTGGGTCACCCAAAAATTTTGGGGAAATGGTTTAATATTGTAAGTGGGCGATAGTTCGAAATTACATTTTTATTAAATAGCTTTCTTAAAAATGGCACATGTATAGGTTTTCCATTTATGTGGAAAATAACTATGCCTTGTTTTCAGATTGAAAATAATTGTTAATTGTTTAGCCAAGGTCTGTGAACAATCTCTAATCAAAAAGGCAGGCATATTGTCGACACCAGCTGTTGGTTTCGGCTTAAATAAATTTAAATGATTTCAATAAATACCACAAAATAAATTTCTTGTAAAAGATTTCTGCCAATTTTCCCAATATATAAACAATTAATTTTCACGACGTAATACAGCCCTAATGAAAAGTTGTAAAGCATCGCTTTCCTTACAAGACAAAACGTAACAAAATGTAATTAATCACGAGACCTAGACTGCTTTAATTGAAAACTAAAACTTTTTGATATATTGCGGTCCGTTTAAATTTCGCACCGCCAATTGCAGCCAAAGTTGAACATAATGTTAGGGTGCACAAATTAACCACAAATTAATGTCGAAAATGTGAAACTAATAATAACTATTCATAAAAAGCAAACAGTGGTTTACAATATAAGGATGAAGAATGGGATGTTGCCTACGTAATTGCTAATGTTAAAACTTTTAAATTGGTATACTGCCCTGCTAAGACAAGAGGTCGTATCTACAAAATATCCAATTTCGAGACTCTTACATTTTATTTTATTATGATTCATAGTTCGAAAGACATATTTGTATTAGAAAACATTTCAAATTATATAAAAAGGTTAGTCAAAACTGCAAAATTTACTTTACAAATCTAAGAGGAGGAGAATTATGTACACTTCCTAAAAATATTCATTTTGTTGATACGACCTTTTGTCTTAGCATAATATTTATATGTATGTTTGTACATTTTGTGCTATAATATAAAAAAATTAGATCTGTCTAGACCAACGTCTAAATCACTAGACTAATCCATTCATTCACAATCAAGTCCTTTTTAATTGCAGTCATTTAGATTGTGTTTATTATTACACAGAGAGAGCTGTTGTATCAGCTACCGCATTAGAAAGAAGAAGACAACTGCTAATTTCAATGGGGATGGTTTGTGTGAGTCTGTTTACATGAGAAGCGAGCATGCGTCACACTGCAAAATTAATTGCGTACTTTCCTAAAAAACACTATTGAGTTTATTTTTTCTTATTTTGTAAAAAATACTGTCAATGTAATTTTTGAAAATATATATTGCACAGCATTTGGAGTTATTTTTCACCAATTATTTCTCTTTAAGAACTATAATAGTTGTAACGAGAAGACATATATAAAAATGATAATAACTGGCATTAATTAAGAATGCAAATATACTTCTCTAATGTAATTTTAAAGGCCTTTTTGAGCACTTTAGAGCCTTATGTTTAGTCAATACTGAATTATAACCATTAATAATCCTTGTAAAACAACTCTCTCATACTCTCTTCGATTTTTATAAGCACAATTAGTATAGTTGCTTTCGTCGTTGGTCTACACTGCACCAATACATCTGTAATTTTTTGAATATACTTAATATCATTGTTGATTAAGTGTAAGGGTTAAAGAAAAGGTCCTTTATTTCTCACAAGTCAATTTAATTGGCGACCGGTTTCGAAGCTGTCACTTCATCATCAGAAACACCTAAATGGAATGTCAAGGAGTCAGTTGTAATAAAAAACAATTATAAAAGCATGAACGGACTTTAACATATACAAAATAACAGAAAAAACACAAAAGAAGTTAAACAATAACCTTGACTCACCTTGACTATTTCCATAAAGGAAGCGCTACTAAAAGTTTAACAAAACGAGTTAAAAAAGTCATATGTAATACAATAGTATTTTTTAAAAATATTGTAGGTTAGGTTAAACCGCGAGATGTCTGTTTGAATAAATTAATTAAAACAAATGTAAGACTATTATTAACTAAACAACACAAAATAGTTTTTACAAGCACAAACAGTTTAAAAATTTTTAAGGATATAACGTCAATTAATAAAAGTAAAAAGTAAAAATTATCAGACTCTCAAAACATCTATCTAGATTTTTTAACGAATCAATGTAGTAAACTGTAAATTTTAAATTTAGCGGATAAATAGTGTACTAACAAAGGTGTTATTTACTGAAAGTGAGTATAGGGGGCGGTGACAAAATTTATTGAAAGTAAAAATATTAAACTGGGAAATGAGAAAGCAAAAAATACTAACAAGAAAATAAAAACACTGAACAAGAAAATATGAAAATTCATATGTAAAAGGGAAATTTGAAGCAGATAATCAAAAGAAAAATTTATTCAAACAGACATCTCGCGGTTTAACCTAACCTAAAATATTTTTAAAAAAATACTATTGTATTACATATGACTTTTTTAACTCGTTTTGTTAAACTTTTAGTAGCGCTTCCTTTATGGAAATAGTCAAGGTGAGTCAAGGTTATTGTTTAACTTCTTTTGTGTTTTTTCTGTTATTTTGTATATGTTAAAGTCCGTTCATGCTTTTATAATTGTTTTTTATTACAACTGACTCCTTGACATTCCATTTAGGTGTGCCTGATGATGAAGTGACAGCTTCGAAACCGGTCGCCAATTAAATTGACTTGTGAGAAATAAAGGACGTTTTCTTTAACCCTTACACTTAATCCCTACTACTCACATATGGCTACCCTCACTCCAAATCATTGTTGATTCTTGTATCTATGAAAATTCTGTTCCATAGTATATGCGAGAAGTTATTTCATTATTATTAAACCTTTCAGAAATTGAAAACCTCAATAAATCTGTCTAGTAAGGTGGATATTTACTTAGGCATTCAAAAACTTTTCCAACTTCGTTGCATACATTGTTTGTTTTGCGGGAGAACATAACAGCGCCCCGAATTGATTCTTGGAGATTTTCCGAATATTGGAAAACACATTTCTCTTTGTCGTCGCTATTTCACGACTTGCCTTTCAATATTGAATTAAAACAGAAGAAGGCAAAACATCGTTTTTTACCTGAGGAAGCTAAATAGTGAAATAAAATACGTTTCAATTCAGATTGAATAATGAAGCTAAACAATTAAAAATATATTCATAATTGTGATATGGTCATATACAGTATAGAATAAATTCATTATTTCGTAATTTTTAGAAAATATCCATCGTCAAAAATAATAGTAGTTGGTATAGACATATTAGAGATATTTCTCTTAATTCCTCAAGAACCTTTAAATTATCCCTCGTTTTATTTATCAGGACAAAAATATATCTAGTAAATAAAAATATTTTACTTACCATAAAATGGCATTAAATATAAGGACTAGATATCTCGGATAATGATTTTTATTGTCTATCAATCAAAAAATACGTTGGCGTTGAAGCCAATCTTCCTAATGTCCTCCATTTATTTTATCGTAATTTAATCTTTCTTTATTGTAACTCGTAAAAATGTCAAAACTGAATCTGTGATGAATTTGTGAAATTTAATGGAGATTCTGTTGATTTTGTTGATTTCTTAACTGACCGATAGTGGTT